TTCAAGTTCTGAGTTGCATCCCAGAAGTTGCACTCATCGAGTGCGCCCCAGCGTATACATCCCAGAACAACAAAAACGCATCACATGTTGCCGCAAGTAGCTTGCTCACTGGCTGCCCCGCGTCAGAACAATTCACTGTGCGGTGTCTGCGCGCCAGCGCCGCGAGATCTTTTGCCGGGCAGTCCGTGTACCATTTCGTGGATGGATTCCTCTACGTCCCATCCAGCCCTTTCCCTCGCCCCCCATCCCGATGCTCCCCCTCGTTCCCCCCAATCCCTCCCCCCCTCCCCTCCTTCCTTCCCCCCCCCCCCTTCCCCCCCCTTCCCCTCCCCCCCCCTTCCCCTCCCCCCCTAATTATCATTCAATGTGAATGCTGCTCTCCTCTCTCCCCAGATTTTGTGTTGTACGGAAGCAGCCACTCTCTCGTATTGTTTTGCCACGCGCACGATGTGAGACTTTTGTGTTGTGTGTTACCTGTCTGTTTGTTTTGTTGCGCTTCTCTTTTTTTTGTTATGTTTCTGCGATCGGACCGTCTTCGGCCCTCTCATTCCTGTGTGTTTTCTACTCGGATCGTCTTCGGCCGCTCGCTTTCCGCGCCGCGAGGGGCACTCGCGCCTCGGCGCCCTGCCGTCCCCCACCCTTGTCTGCGACTGCTCAATATGACCACTGTTCTCCTCTCCTTCCGACTTCCCTCGATCAGCACTGCAGGTGCCGCGTGTTTTTTGTTTGTTTGCTTTTTTGTTTGTTTGTTTGTTTGTTTGTTTGCTTGCTTTTTATCATGCATGTTTGTATATATATATATATAGGTCGTGAAAGGTGCTCGTTTTTTTGTTTGTTCGCTTGCTTGCTGTTCGAGCTGGCCCCTGTCTCCGCTGCTCGTACGCAGCTTGCATGCAAGATCTACTGCGGCATCCCCGCGCCAGCTTTCATGGTCTGAGCGGGCTCCTCCTCTTCCCTTCTTGCGCTGCTTGCCTTATCGCCTTCGTGCCTCCTTCCGCCTCTGGTGTATCCCGTCGCTTGCTGACCGGCGTCTGGCTGCCTTGGGGCACTTGTCGGGGGCGGGAAAGAGGGGGGTGATGACTAGGGGGGGGTGGATATCATGGCGCGGGCCATGCTATTTCCCCAGATTTCAGGGCGCCCCTTCTTATTTCATTACGTCCCAGGCCCCCCCGCTGGGCCGGGCACGTGCCGCCGGTCATGATTTGCACCCCCCTCTCTTGGACACCCCCCTCTCGGCCGCTCCCGAACGTGGCGCCCGCGGACTTCCAAAGCTCGTCGCGATGGTTTTTTCCTGGGACCGTCCTCGGCCTGATCACCGCCTTCGGTACCAAATCATGGGGGCGCGATGTGCCCTCCTAGTTCCGTCTTCAGCGTCGATCAGCGTCGCGTAGCCTCTGGGAGTCGACGAGATAGCGCCGATTCTGGGCCGGCTAGCGTCGACTATGGCCTCGGTCTTGCGTCGACCAGCGTCGATTTATGACTGTCAATTAACGTCCGCTCGCAACAGCCGACAAGATGGTGTGGGAGGCCCCCGTGAGTTGCCACCGAGCCCCCCGGCCTGAACATCCCCGTGGGTTTCTCCGCCCGGAGCGTTTTCTGACGTCCGGCCCCCCGCCGCCAGCACGGGCGCCCGCGCCCCTGCGCCCCTGCCGCACTCCTGCGCCGCCCCCTCTCTGTCTGTGGCTGCCCAATTCTGAGCCTGGTGCTCCCCCTTCCTCCTCCTGCTCCTCCTGCTGCTGCTGCTGCTCCTCCTCCTCTTCCTCCTCCTCCTCCTCCTCCTCCTGCTCCTTCTCCTCCTGCTCCTTCTCCTCCTGCTCCTTCTCCTCCTGCTCCTCCTCCTCCTGTTCCTCCTCCTCTTCCTCCTCCTCCTCCTCCTCTTCCTCCTCCTCCTCCTCCTCCTCCTCCTCCTCCTCCTCCACCTCCTTCAGTGTGCACAGCTCCAACTTTCTGATCGCGGACGAAACGATGGCGTCCTTGTTGGTTAGGGGGTCCGGGTCCGCTGTGACACCCGACGGCTATCAGCGCAATGGGAAGGCACGGGTGGGAGGGGCAGCCTGTCAGATATGGCGCGAGCGTGCCTATCTAGATATGGGTATTAGTCCCCTCCCTCACCAGACGCCGCCTTGGTCTGCCGCCGCCCGTCCCGCGGCCCGCGCGTCGCCGCGCTGGCGGGAGCTGGCCAGGCCCGCCGCGGCCGTCGTTGTCGTTGTCGGCGGCCATGTCGTCGTCGGCGGCGGCGGCGTCGTCGTCGGCGTCGTCGTCGTCGGCGGCGGCGGCGCAGGCGTCGTCGTCGTCGTCGTCGTCGTCGTCGTCGTCGTCGTCGTCGTCGTCGTCGTCCTCGTCCTCGTCCTCGTCCTCGTCCTCGTCCTCGGCCTCGTCTTGCCTTCCTGTTCCTCCTGCTGGCGTGGCCCGTGGCCGGGCCCCTGGCCTGGACCTCGGGGCCCCGTCGCGCTGCAGGCGCTGCGCGAGGAGCGGGGCCTGATGAGACAGCTGGACATGGCGATCGTGAATGTATTGAGCACGATGGGGGAGGATGGGCGGGGAAGGTCGGATGTCAGATGTGGCAGGCGCGCGCCCAGCTCGCCATCCCCCCCCCTCTCCCTCCCCCTCTCTTCGCCCTTTCTCTTCACTTCTTGTCCGCGCCCGTCTCTTCCCACGTTCCCTCAGTTTGCTTCTCCCTCTCCGATTCCTTCTTCCCCTTGCTTCCGCCTTTTGATCTTTTCTCTTTGCCCCCCGGTGCCCGCTCACATCCTTGAGGAAAAAGATCAAGGTTTGAACCAGATGCCTGCAGAGAGGTGTAACCGGTTTTTTTGCTTTGGCACCAGCAGTCTGGCGTCTCTCGCCTTGCTGCTTATGGCGTTAGCTGCGCCCGTAGCGCTGGCTTGGGGACCAGGCACGGTGATTGCGCATTCGTATGAAGGGTGGGGCCATGTGGTCCGTAAATCCCATGGGGCCTTGTGTCACCTCACCCTGGGGAACAAACCCAGTTGCGCATGCTATTCGATTCGGCAGGGTTGGCCGTGGATTGGGCCCCGGCACCCTGCGCACCACGCCGTTTCGTCTAAGCGGCGAGCCATCGGCGACGAGGTCACCTCATTCCTCCTTGACAAGCTTGTTTGATCTGGTGAATGCCATTGCGTGGCTTTCACATGCTCCACGTGCTCCTCTTCGGGGGTCCCTGGAAGACCCCGGAGGTCTCCAGAGGACTCCAGCGGTCCCCGGGTGCCCCTGGAGGCCCCCGAAGCCGAAAGGACCATTGAACGTCGATCCTCGAAACCCGATCCTCGATCCTCCTTCCCTCCTCGAGCCTCTTCCTCCCCCCTCCCCGACCTCGGACGGTAGTGTTTCTTTTCACCGCGCGGGTGCCCTCGCATGTCTTGCCCCCCCCCCTTCCCATGGCCAGCCTCTCCTGTGGTCCTGGAACAGGGCCCCTAGAGGCCGGCAGCGGCCAACAAAAGCTAACGTTTGACTGTCTTCGCGGCGAGAAGAGGTCTGGTTTCGAACCTCGATCCCCTTCCCGCCTCTTGGTGCCCTCCTGTCCCCCTGGATCCGCCGCGATGAATCCTTCCCCCCTCTCCCTTCGATCGGCGATGACGACGATCCTCCCCCCTCCTTCCCCTCCTCCTCCTCCTCCTCCTCCTCCTCCTCCTCCTCCTCCTCCTCCTCCTCCTCCCTCGCTCTCTCCCTCCCCTCCCTCGCCCCCCCTTCCCTCTCTCTGACGCAGCCTGGCGCGGCTATCCTTCTCCACCGCTGCGCCGCCCCACGCGCGGGCGCGGGGTTGGTGCCGCGGCGGTGCCGCCGCATGCCGGCGACGGTGGGTTCCCAAGAGGGGAGGAGCAGGGAGGGAACAACAAGGGGGAAAGGGGAAAGGATGTAGGGGGGAGGGCAAGCCTCTCACTGGAAGTACCGCGTGACTGCTGAAGACGTCAATATTGTATGCATCACTGTGTTTGTAATGCCCTGGTCTGTAGCGCTGCAGACGGGGTAGCCTTGCTCCTCCTCCTCCTCCTGAATCGGTATCCGTAGTCTGCGGCTCCACGTAGGCCAGTCTCAGCGTAACCATTGTGCCATCCGATCGTAAACTGCAGCGAACAATCTTTCATCGTGCAACGTATCGAACAAAAATTGGCACCCCTGAGAGTGGCTTTCGGAGGCTGCGAGGTCGTATGAGTGTTCGAACATGTAGCCATTTTGCTGCAGGACGTCATACTGTTCGGCTCGAGCAGACACTTGGTACATGATGACGGGCCTCGTCTCTAGGTACTTGTCGATGGGCTCAACGTTGGCACTCTTGACTCTGATAGCCACCGATCCCGATCAGAATGCCCAGCGCTCCGTAGTGGTATCCCAAGCGCCCAAGATAGCCATTGTGGCACATCTGGCCTTTAAGCCTGGTGATTCGGGCGGGCATCCCTTGTCGTAGTCCTGCGTGTTCAGGTGCTCCCGATTGTTCCGGTGGCCCGGCTACCTTTGCTGATGGCTCTCGTAGCTCAGGTGGTTGCCCTCGTCGCTCCGCTGGTGGTCCTCGTAACTTTGCGGGTGGCTCTCGTAGCTAATTAAGTTGGGGGTCCTCGAAGCTCTGCTCGCATCCCTCGTAGTTCAGCTTGTTGCTCTCGCAGCTCTGCACGTGGCCGTCGTAGCTGAGCTGGTGGCTCTTGAAGCTCTGCTAGTA